GAAAGAGATTGTAAGCTATGAGACAGTTAGTAGAGACTACTCTGTTATATATCAGAGATATTGAGTAAGAAATACTGCTTAAAACTTCTTATTTTTCTTAAAGAATTTTTTTAGAGATAATCTTACAGTAATAAGCTGATATCTTATAGACTCTGTAACACTCTTCTTCTATTTTCTCTCAAAGGATTTTTTAGAAGTTTAATGAGACTATACAAGTATAAAATTTCTAAAGCAGTTAATAAGAAAAGAAAGAGATATTTAAAATTAATAAAGATTAATATTATTCACTTATAGACTGCTGCTATTCTAATAGAGTCACAGTCTGCTGAAAAAGTAAAAAGAGAGAATCAGAGTCTACTTATTAATAATTACATCTTCATCAAACTAATTCTTCACTATTAAAGTCTCAGACACTGATATCTTTATCTGCTGAGAAGTTAGTGCTGTGATACTGCAGAGAAGCATACTATAGAAGAGTATAAGAGATACTGAAAGTATTAACTTATTAACTTATAAAGCATCTCAGTTATCTGCTTCAACTGAAGTGAAATTCTCTTTAATTAGCAATTGATCTCTGCAGTGCTTTCAACAGCAGTGTCAGCTGACTTCTTCTTAAGACTAGTTATTTCAAGATGTTTTTTCATCTCAGAGACTCATGTCTTCATCTTCTTTTACAGATGAGTAAGAGAGATCTTCTCAGTCTTAACAGAATTTATCAATGCTTAAAGCTCTGAGACTCTCACTCTGTACTACTTGAGTATCTGAGCTTCTTATCAGAGCTGACATGATATCTTTCTGTGAGATAATACTTACAGAGAGATAGAAGTTGTTGTTACAGATACAATGAAAATAATAGAAGTGAGAGAAGAAATAAGTATATAAAATCCCTCTTTTCTTCAGCTGCTTAGTACAGTGCAGATAAGTGATAATATTAGTTAGAGATTATATCAGAGTCTTCTCACAGAGAGAAGATAAAGAAACTGCAGAACTCTGCAGACTTAACTCAGCAGTATTCTGAGCAGAGCTCAGATATGCTGTAGAAGAGAAACTACAGATTAAGCTTCTCAGAGTCACTGTTTCTGAAATCAAGCTCTCTCTGAGTTTCTCTTCAAATGATCACACAGAGTCATATGCTACTGTGTTGACTGAAGAGAAGGTGATGTTGCAATAATAATAAGAGAGGCAGAAAAAGAACTGAACATGAATGAACTGATCAGCAGAAGAAATAACACCTTACTACAAGACACAGTAACTACTGTCACAGCTGTAAGAGAAGTAGAAGAAAGTGTAACAATGAAAGTGATACTTCTGCAGCTCATTAACACTGCTGTCTCTGTCTTCAACCTGGCTTTCTTAATAGTTACAGAGACTGCAGCTGCATCATGAAGATGTTTACTCACTAGAAAATGTCAGAATAAGTCTCTTATTATCTCTCAAGAATGATGCTTTCATGCACTTACTATTACAGATGAGAAGAAGAAAGAAAAATATATTATAAAGAGAAGAATCTTTTCAAAAAAAAAAAATTCTATCACTACTGTTAACTTTGTCTCTAAAAATACATCACTTTTGTAGAAAATTTCATATATAGAACAGAATATAATAAGAGATCTATAAGTCACTTATTAACTATATTTTTCACATCTTAAATTGATATATAAGAAACTCACTTATCACATGTTTAATTTAAATGAAGATGAGAAAAGAAAGATCTACACAGTCAGCAGAAAAACTCATCTATTTCTTTATATCATATACAGTATATATGCTGTCAATTGATTGATAACTGTTGCTATATAATAAAGATAACTCTCAATTCAGTAATCTTGAGAGTATTGAGACTATACTTTTAAAGAGAAGAGTATTATCACACTCTCAGCTATATCAAGACTCTGCTGTAGTTCTACACAGCTCATTACTTTTATATAAATGATTTCATTCATTTTAAAGACTATTTAAACTGATTTTCAACCACTCTATAACATTATTCAGATATATTATAAAAAGATCTGATTAATGAATATAAGAACCTCACTTCTATATAAGATCAGCAGATTACTCTTTCTTAATAGTAAGATGCTACTGAGGTATCACTCTGACTATTCTCACTTATGAAATGAGAGAAGAGTATTTACTCATTGTCTATATAGAATAGCTAGATACTGACTTCTTATTAAAGAAGTCAGTGATTTGTTTTTCTTCTACTGAAATATATATAAGAGTTACTATGTATCTTATACAATCTTCTTAGTATACTAAGTATTATATCTGTGATATTCTTATAATAACTCTGTAGTCTACAAGCTCACTATTTAAGTAAGATAGTTAAGCTCACTTATACAGCTTTTCAAACAACTATCTCTACATGACACTGCTAACTAGCTACTGCTTTGATTCTGTTATATTATATTTATTTTCACATTCTTCAGAATCTTATCTGTAAGAATAAGATATCTATTCAATATATTTCATCTGTTAAGAACACAGTAGATAAGCTTACTAAATCACTTGAAACATTGAAATATACATACTGAAAGGAGATTATGAAGATGAAGGGATAGAGGGATAAAAAATAATGTATATCATGACTGGTTTTTCATTACTTCACATTTTCCAGTCATTTTTTGTATCTGTACTTGATTTGAAGGCGAATTTTGTATATAGCATTGTGTATAGTTACTCTGGTGAGTGGGGGTGTCAGGTCACGTGATCTGGCTTACTAATTCTTCCACCATATAACTTTTCACAAGCTAGCAACCTTTCAATCACACAAGCTTTACACCTTCCACAACTGTTAGGAAGAGCTAGTTGTAAGACTGACTTTAGTAGTATTAAAAACTGTTCTTTAGTATGCTATCTAGTCGACCATCGAGTGGATCACAAAAGCAGCTTCAAAGACTAGTAAAGAAAGATAAACTCAGGGAAAAGTTGGCAAGCACAGAGTTTTCAAGAAGAATCAAGATGCGAGGTTGATTTTTCCCTATCATCGAAGCCATATAATATTTAACGTATGCAACATGGTTCTGTGTGTTGCTGAGATCTAGATGTATAGGTCTATACATAGAGTGTAGGTAAATAAGTTCCCTTCTATATCTGTTCTCCACTTGGTCTCTCGGACGTTCTTAGCGACCAAGGTAGAGGCTAAAATCACTATACGCTCTTGTCAGTTGGACTGCGGTCCATGGACCAGCTAGGTAGGTCTCTGGGCCGTTTTCTACAGGATAATGACCAAGGTCACTGGATTACAGGAACGTTTCCAAGGTCTGATGCCGATGGACCTTGGTACTAGGGACCAGGGGTTTGGTACAGGTGCCGCGGACCCAACGGGTCCCTTGACCGCAGTTCAAGGCCCTGTCTGTACTAGTGACTACTGGCCGTTGTCCTGGTTGGCCTCTTTGCCAGTGAGGTCAACGGGGAGCCATGTCTTCTCGGAGGAACCAAATTGATGAAGATTTACTCTTCATGATCAACACAATCTTCAGAGCTCTCTTGGCAGAGTATGCTTCTCGCAAACTTTACGTTCGAGTCACACTACCTGACAGTCAAAGCAAAGTTTCACGATCCGACTATATACAATATCGGGCCCTATGTCAATTGCCAGGAATATGTTGTGTCATCCTATGACCGCGAGATCTACTATTATACACGACTGGGAGCCCAGTTGACGGCACGTAAACAGTTGGTAAAATCACCTGACCTACCTAACTGCTTTCAGTTAGGTAGGTCAGGTGACTTTTTCCAATTGTCCCTAGTGCCTCTCAGGGCCTTCCAGGCGCAGAGTGTTTATCATGTGTCATTTTTTTGCTAATGCACTCAATTTGAAGCATGAAGCATGTCTACAGATTGATGCGTGGTTTGTTAGCCTAGTCGCATCAAACAAATAAGCTGATTGTCAGAATATAATGAAAGAGAAATAAAATGAAAGGGAAGCGAAAGTATCTGATCTGCTCTCTATCTCTACAACTATCCTTGACTTGCTTAAGGCATTCGTCTGTTTTCACTTCTTCCTGTCTGTTGTGTGGGTTTTCGACTCAACTTGAAGCGTTGTTAATTGACGACGCTCAATTTGCGTGCAATTTGTTTCATAGGTGATAAGTTTTTAGCGACTTGTAGTCGAGCATTCCCTGCAAGCGACTGTGGAAGTTTTCGCGGATCAAAGGACACTAATGGCAGCTGTCTTTGTACTGGCTACATCAGACAAATAAGCTGATTGTGGAAGTTATAGTAGGAATGACTCGGGTGAGGTGACCAAGGTCCAGCGGTAATTCAATGTAACATGAGAGGAGCCATTGATTTAGTTAAGTGGCTATTCAAGACTCTCCTCTCTCTGACTCGCTAATGGTCTCCACCTCATATATGAATTTTAGCGCATTGCCCCGAGGACGGACACTCCCGCGACGTCGTAGACCGACTTAGAAGCGATAAGCATGGGTAGTATCCAAGTTTCCTTTCACAACCCTTTATGGTATCAACAATATTCTTTAGTGGGAGATTAAAGATAACTCTCTTCACGAGGTACTTTCCGACTATACCTGGGTCGCTCGTCAGTGGTCTACTGAGCAAAGATCACTTTTTATTTCTGCCAGATTGGTCAAATCGCCAACCCACTTGTAATTTGTCAGGGGATTGGAATGCACTGATCTAAAAATAAAGTTGGCTACCTACCGTTACACTATAGCCTTGGCAAGGGTTGAAATGAAGTGGAAAAGCTCTATTCCTTCTCTAAAGTTCTATGTCTGTCTTTATATAATGAGCCTAATTTTCTTCTATACTTGATATAAGCCTCTTGTCTTATCTTCTGTCCCTCCTCTCCACAGCCTCCAGCTGCTTGCCAGTCCTTTTGACCATTGTAAATGCCGTTTGTTACAAACCGCAACACTAGCGCCATCACGTGGGTTCCTTCGTTCAAAGACTCGCCTGGATTATTGCCTTGAAAGAGCTTGGAGAATTCACACAAATTTTCAGGTCATGTTCTCTCTGAACCTATTGTTCACTTCTAGGGCGTTTTGCCTAGTGATGATTTTGATCAGGACCTCGATAGGCAACAAAGATAGCGCTATTTCTCATTTTTTTCGTTTGGAACAAAGCGCAGCGGGTGACATTCAAAGCAACAAGTTACCTGGTGGAAGGTGGAAGAGTAGCTGCATGGTGACTTGCTATGAATAAAGCGTTAGAACCTAGTCCTAATCTAGCGATCTCCCAGCTCTGTCCCAGCTCGCAGCGTGATTTGAAGAATATAGGGTTTCACTGGGACCTCAGTGACCATACTCGTGAGATCCTCGATACTAGGCCTGGGGCAAAACCGGGAGCAAAACGAACGGCGAATGTTTTCCACTGGCAAGCGGCTGCACGGGCCGAGTCAAAGTCAATAACGGACTGGATTAAGAAGAATGGATCGCATGCTGTGATTAAGACCATCCAACACAAGACATTTGTGTTCCTTCACCTCTGGCAAATACATTATGTAGCTTACACTCGTCATTGATTTTTTTTTTCAGAACATTTATGGAAACAGTCTACAGTGTTCTGTGGACGACGTAACCAAACAGAGCCTAGCACCTATTGACGAAAATAAGTGCTACTGTTTAGCTGGAGAGTGACCGCTCTACAGCGAAGCAAATATTTCGCCAAGATTTTCAGACCCGCTACCTGTAGGTAGCGGGTCTGAAATACGTACCAGCTCGGATTTTTTTAGTTCTGATGAGAGAATGGCCCATTCTGGGACATGTAATATAGGGAAGATAGAATTTTTCGTTTCAATACAACTATATTAGCATTGAGGACTAATGCTATATTGTATCCGACGAGTATAGCCAGTAATAATGGAGAGAACGTAATGAGAAGTCACCGAACGATTTTACATTCGTATATTTGACCACAAGAGGCCATTTGCTAATTACGCGATGTTGAACCCAATGGGCTGCAACCCCTCTTCGTCTTGGTGATTTATCATTGGCATCATTAGGCTGGAGATGTGACAGCCACAAGTCACCGTCACCTACTGGCAGATACCTGGCTAATGGTTGGCGATGACATAGATCTATTCGAACTTAGAGCTGGAAAAAAGGGTTTAGAGTAAAAGTATACGTGAGAAGTAAGGAAAGAACAAACTAGTTCAGATTGTGGCATTTAATTCATGAAACGAAATCAGTATTAGGGACATTTAGTACAGTTATCCCAGATGGCAATCAACATCCCCCTCATGTTCTGTTGTCGAGACCATACCCAACAGTGATGCTCCTGTTTGAAGTGCTGCATGTCAGTGCTATACTAAATTTTCTGCTGGCGGAGTTGACACCTATATGACCAGCAATCCGGCCATTGGTCTTTATCTTAGCTAGCTTAGGCGTATTGAGGATCTCCTTGAGATCCAGTCGTTCTCTTTTTCCGTCACTGTCTTCCCATGACTCTATCCTAAGCCTGTTAAATCTGAGGCACGCCAAGAGGACATGCCGTACTGTTTGGTTTCCATTACCACATTCGCACAGGGCGTCGGTAACATCAGGCACCTTCCTCTCGTGTAGAAATTGTCGCAATCCGATTTTTGCCTGTGCCCATCTGAATAATGGTAGAGCTGAGAGCCTTGTGTAAGGAGTTGCGTCCCTCTTCCATTGAGCCAAGTATGACTCCCCTAGGGCTATGGTTCCCTCAGGGCCACAGCTCCCCTAGGGGATATGGCTCGCCCTAGGGTTATGGTTCCCTCAGGGTCACAGCTCCCCTAGGGGATATGGCTAGGGGACGGAATTCCCTAGGGACTTATTTACCCTGGGGGATGTGATTTCCCCTAGGGACGAGATTCCCCCAGGGGCCCCATAACCCTAGGGGCGTCATACTTCGACCTGAATATTCTCCGAAAACGTCGACTATATTTAGTAGTATGTGGCATACCACCTTTAATAGGCGTATGGCTTGTTCAACTCCCACAGTAGCGTAAACGACTGATGGGTCCTCCGCCATCTAGGCTATGTCGACTGTAAAATGATATTGTCTAATAATCAAAATGTTATATAACATATATCCCATATTTAGCTGTAGCATTTCAGTTTGGTAATGGCACGACATAAGTGTGGCACCGCTGCTTACCAAGCATCCAAAATTAACGAGCTAACTAGATTTGGTTACCATTTGAAACTGAAGGAAAGCCAATCACCTAGGCATGATTGATAAAAGAAAGAAGATGCTCTAATTCTTATTGGAATACAAAACGTCAGGATTATATTTTCGCATTATTAAGTGTAATAGCCCTGTCAAAGGCTTGAATAATTGGATCATAGAGAACTTCCGATTTCACTGGTGTCCCTGTAAAAATATCATCTTTGTAGATACAAAACAAGACCTTCCTCACATCTCGACACAGAGACTTTACCTCCTCGAACTCGGGCGGAAACTCAACCAACAGATTTTCGAATCTTTTGGCACCCATATCACTCGCTTTAATACGTGCAATGTCGTCGTATGATCCTGTATACCACTTTGCCAGGCGGCTTACTTTGGGTCGGCCCTGTAAGTTCGTCGATAGTCTCCAACCGTGACGAGCACACTGCCAAATAAGCACGTAGAGAAACGATTCTAGATCGTGACGGTAGGTATGGTCTGTTCCGTCCAACACCTCAATCGCCATGAACTCCATCGTGCCTGTCTGCTGTCTCGCCCCAGTGCGGCCCTTGTCGCGTTCCTTGGCGAGATCAAGGTCGATCAACATGCCGTGGTAGCCATCAGCCTTGTCCGGATTGGTGATGATGATATTGTTCTCAGAGATATCGCGATGGAGGATTTTGCCGTCCAGGTAGAGGGACCGGTGCGCCTTGATCGCATCGCGTAGCGCAAGCAGCAACTCCTTTGCCGAAGTGAACTGATGGATCGCCCGTCCTGCAGGTGTGATGGCCAAACAGCGGAAGATGCGGTTGTCGAACGGCCCTTCTCTCGTGGAGGCGACCAGGCTAGTCTTCTGCGCTGCCTCGACATCGAACGACACCTCGTCATTGGATGCGATATCCTGGAATCTCTTGCTCGACCGTGACCGTTTGAGAGGTGGTGCACCTACCGCCTGTCTAGATTTCCGCTTCCTCGAAGAACCCGATGAAGAGCCCTTCGCGAGGCTTAGTCCCTGCAGCTGTGTAATTGACTGAGACTGCTGGCTCTGGGGTTGCGATAGGCTAAACGAAGACGACACACTGAGAGCCGGACGACCGCGGAAAGGATACGGCTCCCCAAAAGAAAGACCATCACGCAGCTCCGCGATGCTCGTGACGGTGCCCTGCCCAATGACTTTGGCAACCCCTTTCACACCGCGTTGGTGTGCGAGTCGGAGAAGGTCGACTTCCGGGCGCCGTCTGGCAGACATCCACGAGAACTTGACCACGCTTTCACCATCCGAGTTTGGAATGCCTGGGCTGTTGGCGAGAAAGCAGCAGGTGCCACGACAAACAACAGCTGACTGAACGGCGATAGGTTTTGGTTGTAGCCGCAGTTGTTTCCTTCCGCTGTCAGCATCTGATATAGAGACTGTCCGGCATCCGTCATCGTGCAAGGTGGTGAACACGTCGAGTCCTAGCTCTTCATCGCTCATCAACGTATATCCAATCATGGCCCTGAAGAATCTTTTAGGGTCACGGCGAATATCAAAGGGTCCAGAGCTATACGGGCCTGATCGGTCAGTCACCCATAACTCCATTTCAGACCCACAAAGGGTGAAGGAGTGGACGAACCGACGGGTCGGCTGCGCAGCGAAGACGTCTCGCACGTACCGCTCCATCTGTAAGAGTGTCCCCTTGTCAAAATCGGGCTGCTTCAGCTCACCGATGACATGGATATCCTTCCAGTCATGTCTGGTGTCCTTGTTCTCGTTCTTTCTCCGCTTCATCAAGAAATCGAGCTGTCGCTCGGCTTCCGACCCGGTCAGGTCTTTCTTCTTTATCGTCTTCTTGTAGTAGTACCCGCGCGTCTCAGCAAAGAACCTCTCCTGGAGGCCGAACAACCACTCAAGAACGTCTTCCTCCGTCGGAGGATCGGGAAAGTCCTCAACCTCATCGTGGCCTCGCTGTAGCACTCTCTCATAGATGGTGGAAAAACCTTCCTCCCAGTCCTTTCCTTGGAAATATTTCGCGTCGAAGCCCTCAACAACCCTGTATGTGCACGTCTTAATCTCGTCAAAGATCCTCAGCTCTACAAGCTCACGCGTCTGTTCTTTGCCTTGCTGGGAAGAGAAAGTAGATCTCAGCGGTGTGGCCTGTGATGTCGGGGGAACGGTTGGAAGGGGTGTACATCGCGATACAGCGACGATAAGATCGAATACAGTCTTCCATATGTCAATGTCAGACGCTTTTTGGAGTATGAGCCGTACCAACGGACGGTAATCTTCGTAGCTGAAATCCCCACTGCGCAGGCGGCGGAAAATACCTGACAGCTCAGAAGCCACATCTTGGTTGCTTGCCGGTGAGCGAAGATTGAAAGCTGATCTTTCACCCATCAATGTAGTAAGCAGTTTCGATATTGCATCTTGAAAATATTCGCTGTCATCCGTCGCTTTATCATTACAGTAGTCTTCAGACTCTTGAAGGTACTTGTGCAAACGATGAAGGGAGTCATTGAAAGGATGCTTGGAGATAATAGAGAGATCATCCCCCGATAAACTATCCATCTCAAATTTCAGTGCATAAATTGAGCGATAGTAGATTCGCCTGACAACTGCGACTGGTTGTATGACATCTGCTTATGAGAGTAAATATGAGAGAGTGAACATGAGAGTAAACCATACCGTCTGAGTCATCACGTGAGCCCTTTATGTAAACAAGTCATCTCTCATTCAAGTAAGCCAGTGGCTTCAAGCTTCCTACACATTATAGTGACAGGAAGGAAGAGAGTGAAGTTGGTAGTTTCTTACTCTGCCACAATTACGCTTCAGTAGGCACCGCAACATACACTGGCATGCACTGACTTATCTCCTATCAAGCGACATAAATGTGATTAAACGAAGGAAAGAATTATTTTCCGCTACGAAAGGTTATAGCCCGAAAAAACATCAAAATGAGATAAAAAAACTATCTGCTGTCCCTTCATCCATTTGCGCCCGTGGAGACGCTGAACCTCACTCGTCATAAAGGTCCATCGATAGAGTTTGGCCCCCCAGTTTAGGCACGACGTGTCCGTTCACCATCAGAGCTCTCTGGATATGCGCAAATTTCAGCCGGCCCTCGTTAGCAGCCAGCGTACAAGCAATGGATAAATGGTTCTTGATCTGTGACTATAATGAGAGGATGGCAATGCAATGCAACAAGTGTATGTCACTTACCTCCCGTCCATTCAGCTTCACCAGAGCCAGTGAGTCCAGTTCCTGCTCATTAATATTCACCTGGAGCTTGGTGTTATTGGTAAGGTACTGTGCAAACACTTCTCTTCGAGCATCATTATTCAGATCGGAGTAATGAAATGTTAGGTGGACACGATTGCGGATTGCTGAATCCAACCCAGTTGGCTGATTAGTAGTCAAGAACATAACTCCGTCATAGTATTCGAGCTTATGAAGGAAGGTAGCCACAAGACGATTTCGTTCGATGTGTTCGGTAGATCGTTGTGTGAGGAAGACATCTGCCTCATCAAGCAGTAGCAGTGCTTTCCAGTGACTTGCTGTTCGAAGAATCTCCCCAAGCTGCCTGTCCAAATGTGCAGCATCAGACGATAGTTGACCGGCAGATACCTGATACGTGAGCTTTACGTAAGGAACTCAAGAATTGATTCAGGAAACGTACGGAGTATAGCGGCCGTTTGTGTGTCTCTGCCAACGACTCTGCCGTCCCAGTCTTCCCAACCCCGGGAGGTCCACTAGACGTGTCAGCTGCACATTATCGAAAATAGATTAGGAAACATATGACAAGAGTGCAATGAGACCGCGCCCTTTGTTTTTTATAAAATCATCGAATTCGCTCATCCTCCCGCTCCCCAAACGACTTTCACCTATTGCCTTAATGATCTCTTTTCGGTCGTGTGGAAGCACTAGCCGATCAAATGGAGCTGGCAACCACTCAATCTCTGAAATATTGTCAATTGCAAACTCGCCTAGAGAATGTCAGTCCTGGTAATCCTGCATTCATTTATCGGGTAACTTACCCCAGAATTTGTCCCCTAGACTGAATCCAAGAACGGTTGGCGTACATACAAGCAGATCATTTTCTGATAGCTCGCCTGGACGCTTGTCCGTACATTTCACCCGCTCCTCGAACCTGTCAGAGGCGGTTCCATTGAACAAGTCAATGCAGGACACACGATTCTGGAGCTTCGGATAACCTGGGTTGACTTCTTGAAACCTGCATGCATCAATCATGATCCTTCCATTGACCGGCACATGGGCGATGGAGCCATCTTTTTTGCGGATAAACGATACGCCATGGTATTGGCAATGATGGCTAGACAATGTCTCAGTGAATGTCTTTCCACACCTGCGCAGATACCTCTCTATCGTATCCTTCTGTGGGTGGTACTGGAGAGGAAAGGCAGAAAGTTTGCTGATTGGTATCGCTCCGTGGAACTTGAATATAGACAGTTCATCTTGCACCTCCTCAAAAACCCGTCCGTCGAAGTCAATATAACGACAAGAGAGCTCAAAATACTTTATACCCTGACGTGTTTCCTTTTCCTTTCCAAAATCGTATATAAGCGCCCTCGGTTTACCGGTGCCAGGACAGGCTGCGCATATAATCTCCTCGGGTTTGAACAGGAATTTTAAAAGATCATACGTGATCATTTGCTGCGCGCAGAGAGCCTCAAGCCTCTGTGATGATTCTGTATAGGTACTTTCGATACAATCTATCAATAGTGCCAAATGTTTGAGACCTGTTTCAGAAGCTGCTGGCCATTCCGAACTGATATAGCTCTTCATCTTTGGCAGGCACGTGAATAACAGTTCTTGATCCATCTGCCATTCCGTTAGTGTTAATCCAAGTGGATAAGGGGGAGACATACTGTGGGTTTATCAGATTCAAGACTGACTGCCTTCAGACCCTGAAATATATCCCTCAAAACGTTACCCAGTTCTTCCGATTTGATGTCGATGTAAGATTTGGGTTCCGTGGAGTTTTTTTCTTCCCACTATCAGTAGCTGCCAAATCGGGTCTGGTGGGAATAAACTTACCGTACCGCTGGCGCACAACAAATATATATTCGTCAAGCTCCGTGATGGTAGAGGCACTAACCGAGTCCTTGATTTTGTATTTGTACTCTTTTTCGTCCCAGCTAACAAGATTTTAGCAAATGCAGTATAGGGATATGAGCTAAAACGCACAGTTCATCAACCTCTCTATAATCCATCTTGGACGCTCGTACCCTTGTTCCATTCGACTCAGATTTGTCCGTCAGCTGTTCCGCAGAAGCACTGTCCCTAGAATCAGAAGGAGTAGATGATTCAGCCACTTCTTGTGACCTCTTTACCATTCGCAATGCATGTTCAAGAGCTGAGGCAAGGCGATCCTCAGTCACGAATGGGGAAACAGTGATAGGGGAAGGGGGCGGGTTGTGAGGCAACTGCATCCGTTTCTTCTCGAACGCATCATCCTGCTTGATCGTCTTTAGAATCTCGGTAGTTTCTCCACCATTGGTTGTGAGGTTCTCCTGGATTGGATTGCTTGCATGCAGTTCCCTTGGCGAAGAAGGGCGGCTCGGAATAGATGGGAATGACGGTGGAGATTTAGGTGGTGTTTGAGGCTGGGAGGATGGCTGGTGAACAACCACGGTTGAAGATCTGCCATTGACCTTCGTTGCTGCTGGCATTGTGCTGTTTGAAATGGCCTTTTGAGAACACAAATTGAAGATTTGTTATTTGTTACATCGAGGATTGGGAGGAATCGTTCCTCTTTATATACTTGTCATCGACCTAACATGCAATGCAATATCCATCATTTTCTTGCAGGGATTCCTTCTTTGTGATGATCTATTTGGCGCAAGACCATGTTCAAGGAATGGGATGACAGTGAAGTTCATACAGTAGATTGAGCATAGCGGCGATGTAAAGTTAAAATTATAAAAAGAGCTGTTTGTTGAACACCCTTGTCTCCTCATTAATGGGCTTACCTAGAGCTATGTCCTGGCGTTCAATAAATTGACCGGATCTTAATTGGTCACTTGTGCATAAATACAGCCAGCTCTGAGGTTCCGACTTCACGTCAGTCTTTGGGACATCAAGTTGATCATGGTTAACAGAACTCTGGTTTCCGATTGCCAATCACCTTGTTGACTAACACCCAACGCCCCCACTATTCACGTGACTGGGCACACAAAGCCTGAGGAGAAGAGACTAGAATGATCTTGGTTGAACGAAGTTGGCAGTTAACTGTCAAAAAGTTGACCGAATTCGAAGCACACTTGTCGAGCGTCATAACTAGCACTGTCTTGCTCTCTTACCTTCAAGATCCAACTGCCACTCGCCAGACACTTCACACATTGAGAATCTGCCTCTCCAGCAGGGCAGCGGGGCATTTCATGAAACCTTGCCATGCCCCTCTCAAAAAGGGAGTTAAGGTATTTCATCAAATCCACGCAGAATTTATTTTCGGACAGCATGACTCCGTTTCCGTCATCATCAAATTCCATCAAGTGCTTTCCCACTTTCCCGCCCATGTTGCACTCCGCAACTCGAAGCTTGGATTAATCTTTATCATACTGTCGATTTCCCTGGCATCATCAGCCATTGTAGGGAGTTGTGTTGTTCAAGGCCTTACGTCAGCGCCTGCGATATTATCCTGTGTCGAACTCTATGCCGAGAGACTCTAGAAACTTATTGTTATTATGGAGGTCAGCCATCTACAAAATTTCTTCATTGCAATATGATGCAACTAACATTGCTATTTATAAAGAGGGGTGAAAAGGCTCTTGCGGGCGAGGAAGAAAGAAACATCCCGAGTCATCGATTTCCGCCTGATACAGTCAGTAGAACGATATATTTCAAAGGCGAACGTCTCTCGATCTACAACCAGCAAACGAACCATCTGAAGACAAGGGCAGAAGATATACAAGAATACAGGGAATATGAGGTGCCTCCTGGGTACACCTGCTATGTTATTGGTGCCAGCTTGTATTTCAAGGTTTAAGTGTTTATCGCTCGTTGCATTCCAAGGACACTGTTCAGGTGATACCCATCATCGTGACCGCATCAAATGGTCAAGGAGACGTCCTGCATTTCATCCCTTGGGAACAAAGTACCCAGACACCCTGTTTTCGTCAATCTGTGCTTTCTTTCCCACTTCCAGAGCTGGCTATTCTCGACGGCCTTTTTAAACGGTTCCGGTAAGGTTGAAATAATACCGGCAGGAGCATTCGAGAACATGTATTTCATCTCTGCAAACCATATAATATCGTCAGATTCATGTATATAGTTGAACTTGTGTCTTCTCACCTCTATTTTCACCATTCGGGGGTGGTGTCCAGTGCTCATTTTCCATTCTGGAGCTGGAGGAAGTCTCTAATCCGACTTCACAGCTTATCTCCTTGGGACACTCAATACGTACGTGTTTCGTCGCCGGTTCGTTTTCTGACATGTTGCTCTTTGTTATCACTAATTTGGAATTCGTGCTTATGATAGCCTGGATTCACATTAATATTAAAGTATTGATTCGGCTAGAAGGAAATCTTACTTTCGAGGAAGGAAAGTGTGTTTGGTTGTCTCAGTGCGCGTGCCATAACCTGCCTAATCTGCTCCGAAGCTATCCAACCGCAAGGAAGACTCTGTATTGCCAGGTATCTCTGCACGTTTTCCAGTAGCCATTCAAACTCATCGCCAGCCAAAGTGGCTAAGCTGTTAAAAGCGATCATGCAGAGAACAGCTGTTTCACATCCTAGATTTTGGAGTCTAGCCCAGCGAGGCTCGTCATGGGAGCCAGTCTTGGGGTTACCATCTGATAGTTTCCTGATATTGAAGCTCAATTTCCGCACTGGTAGTTGCTTTCCACGACGTATGAGTCTTATAATAGGCTCCAGTTTTTCTAGCACTGAAAGCTGAGTTCAAAGCTCTGAAACCTCGGCTTTCAAGGCCTTCAATGTACCTTGGTCATTGTCATGAAGATGAAAGGAAGCATGGTTGATTGTGTTCAGTTCGTTGAATGTTGGTCGCATAATGGCGAAGTGTCAGAGACAACATAAATCCAAAGAATGGTGTGGGTGGTAGGATAACGAGCATGGGACACAACTCGATTTAAATGACAGGATGGTCGTGCGGGGTTGGCTATGAGCTAGTTTGGCTGCTCTTGGCTCTCAAGTCATTTGATGCAGTTCCCCGCCAGCTTCGCTTAAGCATGATGGCTCTGAACACAGGCATTGACACTTCGGATGTATGTGGAAAATTGGAGTCCTGTCAACATCATTTGAATGCCTACTGCAGTCTTGGAGAGAAAGCCAATTGTCAAATGCCACGTAAACTCCACCTGAAGACCAGTCATCAGTCACCCGAACTGCACCAACCACAGTTTTTGGTTGCGCGGTTCCTGTTTCAGTAGAAGATCTATTTTGGGGATCACCACCAAAGGCCCATGCTGTCGTTCAATCCTGGTAGCTGTAGCTTGTGACATGTCAGACTCTCCCTCCCCTCCCCATTGGGAAGCACATAAATACAGTGCTTTCACCACCACTTGTTGAGAAAAAGCGGCATCTTTCACCAAGTAAATGCACATATCAAGCCAGTCAATCGCCTCGACCCTTCTTCCCTTCTCGATGACTTGTTGGAACCATGGCAGCAACGATTTCATATAATCCACCAAGTCTGTCTTCATTCTTGACTGATTCCATTACCACCATAAAGGCAGCCGCGCACCCGCCAGACAATATCTCGAGTACGTCGGAGAAGAAGACCAACCACTGAGTGCTCTATCTCCCTACTTCGCACAACACGTCGGTTCACCTCGATTTGAGCCCCTCTGGCCCTGGTGCCGCCCCTGCATGTCTGCTCGTGAGTCGTCTCAACTATACAATTTCGACAAATGTCGTGAAGACATGCAATATCACTGTCCGCACCGGGACTACTGTCAAGACGATCTTGGACACTATCAAGTCAACCAATTACGATCGATATAAGTTCGCCGAGGGGGGTCAGGGCTGCCGCTTCTGGGTGGACAAGATGGTGACGTTGCTGCAGGAACGTCAAATCGCCGTCAACGAAATTGAAACACAGGCAGTTCATAACGATCTTCAGCGAGTTTGGTCTTCTGAAGGTCAGCCCGTGCCAGCTGCTCAGCTTACTGGGATGAGCCCTGGTACTTTCTATTAGCATCTTTTGTTCACGTTAATGCACTTGATATATTTCGTGAAAGCAAATACGAGTAATTTGATTGTCACAACCATACTCTACGTGCAGGTCCTCTGCGGTACATGGCCAGATGGTTTTGTCCACGCTGCTGTCGTCAATGCAAAACCAATCGTCAGTAAATGTTCTGCTTCTTCTTGGTAGTTATCCATATATTTCAGTAGTCCTTGTGTAAATTCGGGAGTGCCAGTCCTCAAGAGCGCTGCCGTTTCAAATAGCTCAGGATATCCACCGGAGTGGGCCCAGTCGAGTAGCCAGATATTTCCATCTCCATCAAGTATCATGTTGCGAGGGGCGACATCCATATGGCACATAACAAGCTTGCGGAATTTGCCGGAGAATCCATGATGGTCGTATGTAACACGATTGAATTCTTTGCACACGAGGAGACGCTCATTAAACCAATCTTCCATATGCCGAGAAGTCAGGAATGGCCCAGCCCCGTAATCAGTAAAGAGCGGCCCGCGCGAGATGCCACCGCCGACTGGCCCGGGCCGTTCTATCTCGATGTCATGAATTGTACGGAGATAGTCCGCTATTTGGGCATAGATAGAGGACCGGACCTTGTTGGTGAGTGTAGGCCAGATATCACACAAGGGGCTACCGTTGATAAACTCCATCAGAATGTAACCCACCACTTGTTCCTCGCCATTATATACTACGGAGCGCTCCTCCCATGCATCAAAAATCATAGGCACTCGTATCCTTGTTCTCTTACGAATAAATTTTGTATTTCTCGCCTCGGCTAGGGACACTCCGTTACCGTACTTTAGCACGGCAGATTCATGAACTCGCACTAAAACTGCACCTTCCTGTCCATAGACAACTGGAGCGGAATGTATAGCACCCAAAAGCCGGATTCGAGAGATATCCTGGATTTTGCATCCAGCCAGGGGAAAGGGAGGTGCCATGACAACAGCGATGACTGGTATCTTGATGGCTGGGCTTCGGTAGGGATAGGCTAGGGAGAACCGCAGGCGAGCAAAGAAAAGCGTCGTTTTTCGGGGTTGTTAACAAGAAGCTCACTAAGAAACTGTCAACGAACAGAACCATCTTGTAATTTTTTCTGCACTTACAAAGTCTCATGGCATTCGGTTCATATGGGCCCTTACACACAAATCGATGGGATAGATCTCCAGGGCTGACCTTAAATGCGTCCGACGAAGGAAAGGGATCAGGCAATAATGTCTTGTCTCCAGTCTCACGTGCGGCACTACTAGACTGGCCGGCGGGACCATGAATTTCACATTTGGTCCCATTTGGCCTGGTCCCATACATTTCTTGGCGTGAGTCCCACCAGGACCAAGCCTCAAAAAAATCTGAAAATGGACCATTTCTGAGAGAAATGACATGAAAAATGACCAGATTTAATTCAAGAATAGTGAAATGAGAGTAATTTCTCAGAATAAACTGTGAAAGATGATTATTCTTTCAAAATCAGAATAAGACTGAGATTAAAGATTAAAATCAGTCTCATTCAGTTCATTCAGTGATTACTTATATAATCAGAATTTGATAATAATTATTGATAATACTCATGAAACAACTAAATACATTCTTATACAAGTTTATTCTTTATTTTCTCATAAAAACTATACTTCTCTGATATACTGTGATTAGAGATATTAAACTATCTGATAATTTCATATTTTATAATTATAAGTTTCTTGATTATTTCTTCTTATAATTGTTCTCAGTAATAGTAATAAATATCTTAATTTAAGTTAAACTTTCACTTCATTCTTATCTCTATCAATGAAATTATCAGAATATTATATATTATCAGTATAATAGTTGAATATATACTCTCAATAATTTTTTATAACTCTAGAATTGATTTAATATATGAATTCATTAGATTATCTTAAAGATAGTAGTTAAATTCAGTTTTATAAGTATATAGTTTTATCTGATTTTCAGTTATAATTAATATATATAAGTTCTGTTTCAAAGTTAGTATTATAATTCTATGAAATATAAAGTATTATCAAAGATTATTACTTATTAAAGAATTATATTTCACTATCTTTATATCTTAAACATCTGTTTATTTAAATCTCTGATAGTTAGTATTATAGTAGTCTCAGACTAATTTAATATATAAGTCTTATTTCTTCTCTATTCAATCTTAAGAAGTGTAGATATTAACTTAATAAGAGAAATTTAGTAAAGCTGCTATAGTATAATACTCTGTAAAAGATTATTCAGTTTTACTATAGTAATATATCAGTTTATTTCTTATAGTAATAATAGCCTGCACTATAGTATTATCTCAGACTGAATTTCTTTTTAAGTAATTTAACTACTTCTTAAGATAAGTAAATAAACTATTATATACTTATCAGACTGACTGCAGTATTAATATATAAGTGATTAAAACTGTCTTTATTATCTTATAAAACTGAAATAGTAAATTAATTATATATTTTAACTAAGTTTACTTTATATTAAAAAGTTTTAATATCTGAATCTTTTCTTAATCAGAGTATTGTATTTAATAATTAATTATCTGATATAATTAAAGAGTCTGAATAGTTATCTTATATATTAAACTTTATTATATTTTAACATTCTGTATTATATTCAGTGATATAACTGATTTATTTATTTATTAAATATTATGAAATTATTATTATTATTTAGAGAAGATATAAATTATATTAATAATATTTTAAATCTGTAATATTTAAATTATTAGTCAATCTATTCAAAATTAATAGTAGTATTATTAAAAAGTATTATTAAAAAACAATATTAAAAAGTATTATTAAAAAATATTATCTTTTATAAAATAAATATAAAAGTTACTTAAGTAATCACTTTTATTTTATTCTTATTTCAAGAATCAGTTATCTCATTATTCTTTATCTTGATATTAAGATTCTTTATCAGTATTTATATCATAAGTTGAATTATATAAGTAATATAGAGAATATAATCTTATTTATTATTTCAGAAATACAAAGTTAATTTTTACTTTAAACTCTTTATTATAGTATAGTTATTCACAGTATTATCAGTTATAATTATAAGAAGACTGAGACTAATATCTTAATAGTTATTTTTAATCACAGCTATTAATATTTCTACTATATAATTCTCAGTATAACTACTGATTAATGATTTAAATTCAATTAATGTCTTTTAATAAGTTCAGTTCTTATCAATATAATAATATATAACTTTTATAAATATAAGATTATTTATACTAGTTTATACATTCACTGTAAGAGATACTTTTTAATAATTCTTCAACTCTGATTCTAGATATTATATATTAACTTTGTAGTATATTTTAAGATTGAACTGAAGACAGAATCAATATGAAATATAAAGATTTAAATTAAGTATTTAAAGAAGTATTCAGAATTCAGAGTTTTCAATTAATTAAAGAGAAAGATTTAGAGATATATATATATAAAATAATTATTCATGAAAGTTATTAAATAAGAGTTATGAAATCAGAGTACTGATATATAATCATTTTTACATAATTTTCTTCAAATTAGAAAGTTAGTGTTATTAAAAATTATTATCTGATAGAGTAACTTATCAGCTCAGTAATAATTTTCTGATTATTTTTCTTTTATTATCTATATTTTAATGACTTTAAATATCAGAAAATTTCTTTAGAATTATAATCAGTTTATAATGAATATTTTTAAATAAAGTTATAGTAATTGTAGTAGAGAGATAACTCTTTAGTAATCTATAATACAATCTATTAATAATTATTCTATAGTTTATCTTAATATTTGTATTGAGTTTTTTATAAATTTCATGACCTGAAATCAGATATGAAGAATGAAGTGATTAT